GTGAGCCACAACTACTGAAGCCCATGCACCGAGAGCCCGAGCTCTGCAACAAGAGAAGCCACCACAATGAGAAGCCTGTGTACTGTAACGAAGAGTAGCCCCCGCTCACCTCAACTAGAGAAAGCCCGTAGGCAGCAACAAAGACCCAGGGCAGCCATAAATAAATAAATGTATTTTTAAATAAACAAATAAAAACAAGTTCCGGGGACTTCCCTGGTGGTCCAGCGGTAAAGAATCCGCCTTCCAATGCAGGGGACGGGAGTTCGATCCCTGGTCGGGGAACTAAGATCCCACATGCCATGGGGCAACAAAGCCTGCATGCTCCAACTACTGAGCTCGCACGCATCAACTAGAGCCCACGTGCCACAAACTACAGAGTCCACATGCCCTGGAGCCCATGTGCCACAACTAGAGAGAAAACCCACATGCCACAACTAGAGAGAAGCCCGAGTGCAGCAATGAAAGATCCCCCATGCCTCAACAAAGATCCTACGTGCCACAACTAAGACCCTATGCAGCCAAAAAAATAATAATAAAAAGAAAATAAATAAATATTAAAAATAAATAAAAATAAAAACGAGTTCTGTTTTAAACGTAATAAATGTTTGAGGTAAGTGTGGGATATCCAGGTAGGGAGGTTAGCAGTTAGGTTTCAAGGGGTCAACACTTATATCGTTAACGTTATGTGCCAGGCCCTTTTCAAATATTAATTCGCTTAATCTTCATCCTATTCATTGAGATAGCAACTACTGCCACCCCATTGTATAGATGGGGAAACTGCTGTACAGAGAAGTTAAGTAACTTCTCCAAAATTCCATAGCTAGTCAGTTTTGAAGCTGGGATCCCAAACTCAGAGTCTGTGCTCTTGTAGAGTAGGTGAAGTCACAGGCATAGATTTGAACTCGCAAGGAAAATGAGCAAAGATGAGAAGAACAATCTAGGATGAAATACTGGAGAAAAGTATAAGTACCTGTTAAGCCAAAGGTGAAGGGGGAGCCAGAGGAAGGAGCCAGTGAGGGGGGTGGGGGGGGGGGAGGGTAAGACAGGCAATAGGGGAAGTCTTAAGGGCAGGAAGTAAGTGATGATATATTTGTAACTCACAACAATCCCTTTCATATAATCTACTCCACATAAATGTTTTAACTGAATTAATAGCCCTATAATCCCAAATAATGATCATATCAAATATCCATGCTTACAGCATATTCAAAAAATTTCATAGGTGAGCAAAACCTATATCATGTATGTCTGTGATTTTTCTAGAATACCAAGAGTTTGTGGAAGACACAGTGTCATTTAATATGAAACAACAGCTTAGACACCATATGAAATCATTCCATACATTTATGTCCAACTAAGAAGACTTTTTTTTTTTTTTTACATAACGCTGGCCTCTCACTGTTGTGGTCTCTCCCGTTGTGGAGCACAGGCTCCAGACGCGCAGGCTCAGCGGCCATGGCTCACGGGTGGGATCTTCCCAGAGCGGGGCACGAACCCGTGTCCCCTGTATCAGCAGGAGGACTCTCAACCACTGCACCACCAGGGAAGCCCCAACTAAGAAGACTTTTTAAAGCTTTATTCACATCCTACTTTCACAGCAATGAAACATGTTACTCTGTTTTGCATTTTGTTGAAGATCACATGAAATATTGGCTCCTCTAAGTTCTGCAAATGACAGCTATAAAATTGTGTAGTCTCTTCCTAAAAAAGGATTTAGAAACCGTGTATATGAAAACTAATTACTTCTCATTTGAAGGAGTTACTAGAGCATCTGGTGAACCTTGAGTTGTGCTGCTATAATAAATCTTCTGTGTATCTAAACAGTTTTTGGTTATGCATTCCTTATTATACTTTACAATTTTATACCCTAAACACAAACATTTAGTAGAAAATGAGTTTCCTCAAGACACAAAAACGCTGGCCCCCACTTCCAATTCAACACGAGTGTTTTCTAAGTGTTTATTAATCTTGATTTCCCTGCCCAAACTCAAAGTACTTTCCCAACTTTAATGCATGTACAAATCTTTCAGAGATCTTTTAAAATGGAAGATTCTGATTCAGCAGATCTGAAAACCAGGCCAACACTCTGCATTTCTAACAAGCTCCCTGCCGCATGATGCGATGCTCTGATCCACACTGGCTACTCGGCTGTGGCGCTTGGACCAGAAGCACTGGCACTACTGGGGGACTTTGAGAACTGCATGGCCCTCAGTGTGACAAACAACAGACCAATATCATCTGCTGAAGCTGATAACTCTAGGCATTTACATTAAAGTATTTCTTTTCAAATCCATTTACAACTCATTCACTGACATTTTCTTTTTTGTCGGTAGAAAAGGTGACACCTTCTTTTCTTTCTATTCTTTCCATTATCCTAAACTGTGGATCTAATAGCTAAGCCCCTCCACAAGGAGGCCCCAGCTGGTTCTTTCAAGGTTCTCTCTTATAATCCCTGTACTGGGGGCTTCCCTGGTGGCGCAGTGGTTGTGAGTCCGCCTGCCGATGCAGGGGACACGGGTTCGTGCCCCGGTCTGGGAAGATCCCACATGCCGCGGAGCGGCTGGGCCCGTGAGCCATGGCCGCTGAGCCTGCGTGTCCGGAGCCTGTGCTCCGCTTCGGGAGAGGCCGCAACAGTGAGAGGCCTGCGTACCGCAAAAAAAAAAGAAAAGCTGATAATCCCTGTACTGGTCCACAGCATGCCAACTGAATGGACTGGTTATTTTCTAAATATAAACCATGCTCTCTCACCACACCCCCTCTTGTTTTGTTTTGGTTTGTTTGGTTGATGCTTTCCCCTATCAGGCCAGTCTCTAGAGCCGTCCCTCTCTACTCACCTTGACTGATTTCTCAATGAGATGTGACCTCACCATTCTCTGAACCACCCACTCGCCCTCACCACAGGAATTTTTCTTTCATTATAATATTTACTACATTCTGCTAGATATGACATATGTTGGTCTTTGCCTTATCTCGGCTATTGAATTACAAGCTATTTAAGGGTAGGAAATTTTATAACTAATTTTGATATTCCCTGCATTGCATAACACAGTTCCTCACTAAATGCTAAATAAAGCTCCAATAAAATTGAAGTAAAGCATTATTCCTTAATGATGATAAACTTGATCTAAATAGTCTCAAATCACAAATCTAAATTACATTTCTTATTTCTCCAAATACTATTGGTTTTCTACTTCAGTCATCACAGAAAATTGGGCACAATGCTTTATTTCCATTTTTTTCCAACTCTGACACCTAGAAAATTTTTATTTAATCTTACTTGAATCATTTTATCAGAACTTAAATTCTGAACCAGTTCATCTGGCATTTTCATATTGAACAGTCCAAATGTTTATATATCAGTTGAGGAAAATTTTATAATGAAATCTTCCTAAAAGTGTTACAAAACTCCACATACACACAAAGAAAAATAGACCACGAAGCAGCACAGATATCATTACATCTGTCATGCTGAAATAAAGCATGGTGACAAAGGTCAATTTTTAGAAACTAAAGGCTCTTCAGAACACCTGGAAGAATCTGAGGTATGAGGAGACACCATGCTTACTTTCAATCACGAAGTCCGCGTTAGTCCAAAGTCAGTCAACTGGACAATTTCTCAAGTACAAACAAATAAACAAACAAATCCAAAATAATGTATGATTAAAGTAAGCAGTGAGTCAAAGGAAAATATCCTGTGCTAAATTCTGAGGATAAATAAACAGACTAAGAACATAAGTTAATTCTAACTGATTGTTAAAAATGAGCCCAGGTCAATAAATGTCTCTAACCAAAGGGCGGAAAGTGAGATCAGAGTTTAAAAAGTGATATGGGGTTGTGATAACCACCAATGACTGGAACACAACAACTAATTATCAGAGCTGCATTGCCCCAAAAGCAAGAATTAAAAGAAAGAATCTAATGTCACTGACTACATAAAAAATGTTCTACTTGAGAGCTGCTAGGGCAATACTGAGCATCCTACCTGAAGACCAAAAAGTAACCATACTCGTTAAATCCTGCAAATGACAGTCATTCATTCATTAATTAGCTTCCTAACCTTAAAGATTGTGCCTTTGGCAAAGAACAGGTAAGGAACGGGAGTTTCTGGTGATGTTCTGACAGCCAGAATAATGGCTCCCCCAAAATATCCACATCCTAACTTCCACAAACCTATGAATATGTTACCTTACGTGGCAAGCGGGACTCTGCGTGGTTGTGATTCAGCTAAGGACCTTGAAATGGGTAGATCATCCTGGATTATTCAGGTAGGGCCAAGGCATTCACAAGGATCCTCACAGTAGAACAGGAAATCAGAGTGATAAGATGTGAGGAGAACTCAACAACCTACTGTTGCTGGCTTTGAAAGGAAAGGAAGGGGCCATGAGCCAAGGAATGCGGGCAGCTTCTAGCAGCTGGAAAAGGCAAGGAAAGAGACTCTCCTCTAGAGCCTCCAGAAGGGAATGCAGCCCTACTGACATCTTGATTCTAGCCTGGTAAGACCCTGGCTGAACTTCTAACCTACAGAATTGTATAATAGATTTGTGTTGCTTTAAGCCATTAATTTGTGGTAATTTGTTACAGCAGCATTGGGAAACTAATACAATGGTTAACTGCCACAGAAAGAATTCTCTAAAACAGATAACTGCTTTTGAAAAGGGTAGAGTGACGCTCTATAAAATGCTCAGCAAATATGTGAATTAAGATTTAGTTTGCATTACTAAGACATAGACCTGCTCTGCTGTAAAAGGCTAACACACAAATTTTAAAACTAGATTTTATAAAAGGGTTGAAAGCAAATACAATTAACTTTGATAGAAAACCTTGGGTTAGAAAACAAAGCAGAACAAGGCATTTTCAGCCAGACAAGAAGGTGATAAAAAGTAAGTAGGAAAATGTGATATTCCTTGCAGATAGCATTTTAAAAGCGACCACCATAGTATCCTTTTCAATAGGCCAGCTAAAAGGCAAGAATCAGCATGTCTTTTAAAGCTCGTATTTACCTGATGATCCTCTGGGCAGCATATTGATGGAGAGAACGAAACTGTGCCGACATATTTGCTAAAGCTGCCAAACAATTTGTGTGAAGGTACTTGTCCTGTCAGAAAACAGCAAGTTTAAAACATACATCGAGTCTTCTCGACATTTTAAGCAAGGTTAACTAGAAGCAAATGTAAACTCAATTGTCACTGATTTTAGAAAGTGCAGATCCACAATCTGTTTTCTCTAATTCCAAAATCCATAAAGCACTGAAAATCCAAAGTTTTTTCACTGCTAGTTTGGAACCAACATCTGGCACAAAAGATAATGATGCTATTTATGGTCTTCATTAAGCCCACCCTGGAGAATACTGAACTATTTTGCTGCAGAAATATTAATGTTTAGTTACAGTGCGTGGCTCCAGAACCTCATGGTTACATACAGTGTAGCACACAAGCTGTAATTATCTTTCTAAAATCAAAAAATTCTCTGTGCTAAAACACATGTGGCTCCAAGAGTTTCAGATAAAAGCCTGTGGAAAGGCTAACCTGCGTTAGCCTCCCAGAGGGGCGTAACTGAAAACGGTGCAGTAAATTTGACCACTTCTCTAAGCTATGAATTCTGTATATCGCTTCTCTAGTGACTGGAACTGAAATTTGCTCCCAGGCATAGCAAATACAATCTAGTTGAAATTTTCCTTTTACTCTTCAAAGTATTCTCTTTTTCTCCATTTCTTTCCCATCTGAATTCATATTGTCTTGTGCTTGTATCTTCTTACAGTTTGTTGTTGCTACTTTTAAAAGGTAAACCAGTTTTCAGTCCAGCAAAGACATACAACATCTTTTAACTAAATGTGCTCCACTGCTTATTTTCTATTACATGTAAAATAGCTCTGATCATACCATCTATGAAATATTAAGAAGCAGACACTTTAAACATTACCTTAGGATCATAATACAGTGACTATATGTTGGTCTATATTTTTCCACCATATTCCATGAGAACGTTTGCACTCTAAATATTGAGATTGCTTTAAACTATAGTCTTCATTGTACTGTATGTATAAAGGTAGAAAAATAGCTATGGAATACTTACTCTTGTCCTTGTCATGTTGTACTGAATAGTTCTTATTACAACCAGTATCAGGAGACTCCCCAGTGAAATTTCAGTTAAAACTCGTTCTGAATACCAAGTAATATTTTTTAACATCTGTAATAGGGAAGAAAAGTTTAAGTAAATATGATTGCTTTAGGGAAAAAGGGATTATCCATGTCTACAATTTCTGACAAGCTGTGGCTTTGCTCTGAAGGTGAGTTAAACAGTATATAAAAGTAAAACGTGAGAATTTCAGTTCAAGATACTGAAACTGTGCTGATGTATTTTCTTCTTCTTCCTTCTTAAATATAAAAGAATAAAAAACAGACGATGCTATCATTAGTAGACAAAAAGGAGCTATATTTAAAAAGGTATGGCACATAGAACAAGTGTGACAGAAAAACCATCAGAGGTCAGTAGTTTGAAAGCAAAAATAAGAAAACTGAGGAGTCTCTTGAAAAAGTGGAGCTATCGTAACAACCACAGAAAATCTCTACCCTTGGGTCGAGGAGAGGCCAAGAATGCAAATTAGCCAAGATCTTCAAGAAGAGATGCGCCCATGCTCTGCTCCAGCTCCGGTGCTCACCTCCAGGCCTTGGTAAGCAAAAACTGTCTAGCTTCAGTTGGTGCAGTTCCACAGACTTGTAACATGGGCATCAGAGAGAGAAAAACTGGGCAGCACAGCAGCCAATGCTGGGTTGCCACAATGAAGGAGGCAAAATGCACAAAAACCAACAGGCTCATCTGGCACCAGAACTCCTCGAATGTTCTCTTCCATTGAGGTCACCCTACTTCTTTTCTCCTTGACGTATGAAGCCAATGTGCCACATTCTTTCCATCCATGCCTGAAAAAGGACAAGACTTCTGGCTGATTCCCACCCTCTCCACTAAGAAGATAAGCCCCCCTGTAGAGCACAGGAGACCTCCATCATTCATACCTTCCAAAGGAGGTCTCACCACCTTTCAAAATAAGTGAATCTAGACTTTCATTTGTAATTATGAATGGACAAGAAGCCACCAAAAACGTAGAGAAATCCAACAGTGAAAAAGATATGCTGAATCTAATCAAGCCTCTGTTCTAATTGCCAGCATATACGAAATACAGAGGACAGAAAAACACGATAAATAACACAATGATATAATCATCCAAAGCCAAATGTATGAAATTCTACTAAACAAATAAGGCCGTTTCTACAAAAAGTGAATGGTGTAATAAGGTGGGAGAGGGAGAGACTGTTACAGATAACAGTCAAGAACTAAATGCTTTGGAAACTCATTCAAACCAACCAACTCAAGGAAGACATTTTAAAGATAATTGAGAGAAAACTGAATATTAGCAGGAATTTTAAAAATACCGTTGGGCTTCCCTGGTGGCGCAGTGGTTAAGAATCTGCTTGCCAATGCAGGGGACACAGGTTCAATCCCTGGTCTGGGAAGATCCCACATGCCGCGGAGCAACTAAGCCCATGCGCCACAACTACTGAGTCTGCACTCTAGAGCCCGTGAGCCACAACTACTGGGCCTGTGCTCTAGAGCCCGCGAGCAGCAAATGCTGAGCCCACGTGCCACAACTACTGAAGCCCATGCGCCTAGAGCCCATGCTCCGCAACAAAAGAAGCCATCGTAATGAGAAGGTTGCAGGCACCGCAACAAAGAGTAGCCCCTGCTCGCCAAAACTAGGGAAAGCCCGCACAGCAACGAAGACACAATGCAGCCAAAAATAAATAAATAAAATAAATAAATTTACTAAAAAAAATAAATAAAATAAAATATCGTTGGTGTTATTGGATGTGATAATGGTATTATGTTTATTTTTTTATGCCTATATTTATCAAAGTGACATACTTAAATATCTACAAATGAAATTTTATATATATATGATTTACAAGATTAAAAAAATATAGTTTAGCCAAAATATAAAAAGTAGAGGGGGTGGGGTGGGTAGATGAAATGAGAACAAAAGAATATTGATGAATCCATGGGGATTCATTATACTATTTTTTCCAATTATGCTTACATTTAATGTGTTCATAATTAAAAGCTTATTAAATAAATAATAAGAAAATGAATAAATGTGAAACTAAACAAGCAGAACAAACATACCCCCAATTAAACAAAGATAATTTAAGAGGCTGAGGAAAAGTTTTTGAAATTCTAATTAGTATCTTCGGTGAGAGTTGACAGAATACTGTATCCATAAAATAAGAACAGGCTACTATGAAAAATGCGAATCACAGAATGAAGAAAAGCTACTGAACATTAAAAATATGATGACTGAGACTTAAAAGAGAGGAGGGCTTCTCTGGTGGCGCAGTGGTTAAGAATCCACCTGCCAATGCGGGGGACACAGGTTCGAGCCCTGGTCCAGGAAGATCCCACAAGCTGTGGAGCAACTAAGCCCGCGTGCCGCAACTACTGAAGCCCACGCGCCTAGAGCCCGTGCTCCGCAACAAGAGAAGCCACTGCAATGAGAAGCCTGTGTACCGCAACGAAGAGTAACCCCCACTCGCCACAATTAGAGAAAGCCCGCATGCAGCAATGAAGACCCAACATAGCCAAATAAATAAAATTGAATTTAAAAAAAAAAGAGAAAGAAATTAGCAGAATGGGTGCTATGGAAAACAGAACTTGGGATGTGAAAGACAAAACTGAGAAGTTCCCTCAGACAACAGCAGTATAAGGCAAAAAGACAAAATATAAGAGAAAAGTGGAGATCCAGTATATACCTAATAAGAGTTCCAGGAGGAACAGACTAAAATCGACCCTTGAACAACATGGGTTTGAACTGCATGGGTCCATTTATATGTGGATATTTTTTTCAGTAAGTATATAGTCAGCCCTCCATATCCACAGGTTGCATCCTCAGATACTGAGGGCCAACTATGGGACTTGATCATCTGTGGGTTTGGGTATCCAGGGCGGGTCTTGGAACCAATCTCCCGCCGATACCAAGGGAGGACTGTAGAAGCAAAAGAGAAAAATTAGTAATAGGGCTTCCCTGGTGGCGCAGTGGTGAAGAATCCGCCCGCCAATGCAGGGGACACTGGTTCGAGCCCTGGTCCGGGAAGATTCCACATGCCACAGAGCACCTAGGCCCGTGCGCCACAACTACTGAGCCTGCACTCTAGAGCCCGCGAGCCACAACTACTGAAGCCCACGCACCGAGAGCCCATGCTCCGCAACAAGAGAAGCCACCGCAATGAGAAGCCTGTGCACTGCAACGAAGAGTAACCCCCACTCACCACAACTAGAGAAAGCCTGCGTGCAGCAACGAAGACCCAACACAGCCAAAAATAATAAATAAATAAATTTATTTAAAAGTTTTTTTTAAAAAAAGAAAAATTAGTAACAAAATTTCTTTGAGAGGAAGAGAAATTTGTAACACTTTAAGCAAAAATATTGAAAAAAAATCAAAATTTATTCTGATAAGATTTCTGAATCAACAGTATATGAGAAAATCCATTGGCTTCTAGCCAGAAGAAACATGCCAAAATCTATTGGCTTCTAGACAGAAGAAACATGTTATCACCAAAAGAAAGAAAGGTAGACTAACATAAGATTTCTCATCTTGAACACTAGATATCTGAAGGACAACAGTAACAATGTCTACAAATGTTTGAGGAATAGATTATCATTCTAGAATTCTATATCTAGAGAAGCTACCACACAAGGATACAGAAAAGTGAAGACTTTTAAGTATGCAAAGACTCAGCATGCACCACCCATGCACTATTTCTGGGGAAAAAACAAACCACCACACATGTAAGTGCTTAGCTGCCCCTCCTCACCACTGTAATGACAACAACAAAACCATAACAGCCAGATAAAGTCAAGGAAGGAAAATATGGACTACTAAACAACAACAACCGCCCCCCAAAAAACCCACAATTATAATTCATGAAATGAGGAAAATATAATTAAATCTAAATAATATGGCTGACCTTAATTCTTTGCTAAGATAAAATAAATATTTCTCTGCTAAGTCTGCCTCCCTGCAAATTCCAAACAATATTAAAAATGAGAAAGGGGGCATGGAAGCAGATAAGCATTAAAAAGTAAAGAAATACTGTCTTCAACTTCATGTAAGTGCCCACAAGTGCCTCCACAACAGATTTTTACGCAGTTCAACTCTTTGACAAGAGACCCATGTCACCTAGAGTCCGCCATTTGGGTTACAAATAACCCAACAGTGACCTGTGCTGGAGGCTCCACTCAGAGGATGGCATGTACAAATGCCCACTACATGGTAGCTGAGTACTGTTTGTGAAGTAGAAAATGTAACACTTTAAGCATTTCCATTTATTCATGACTAATAATGACCTTAATCAACTAGAAGAGACAGCCTATGTGTAAAACAAATGATAGTAGCTGAAAATACTCAGAACAATGAGATTTGCCAGTTGAATCTTTATAAAGGAATGATGCAATGCTCAGTCCCTCTGATTTACTCTGTAAGGCTGCAGTTCTCAAAATGTGGTCCTGAGACATTTCTGGAGCATTCTCAAGGTCAAATCTATTTTCACAATAATACCAAGACATTACTTTCCACTCTCATTCTCTCGTAAGTATGTAGTTCAGCTTTCCAGAGGCTACATAACATGTCTAATAGCACAACAAATTTAATACAGAGGGAGACATGAGAATCTAAGGCAAAAATGTAAAACAATGCCACTCTCTTGCTAAACTTTTGTTTGTGGAAAATAGTTACTTTCATAAAAATATGTTACTGATGCTAACACGTAATGGGGTTTATTATCATAATAATTATTTCTAAATGAACTAATCAAATATTTTAAAAATATGTCCGTTTTAATTTCCAATACAGTAAATGTAGCGAACAATAATCCACATAAAGACATTATGTGGTGTCCTAAACTACTTTTAAGTGTAAAGACCACAAGGTTAAGACCACTGTTCTGTCTCCAAGGGAATACTAACCCAGGACACTCGTTAGGCAACTTGACTAGTGAGAGGAGTCTCTGTCTTTTAAAAGGTCACACTTGAGCATACACACATTTGAGCATAGTTTGGTTTCTCCTCTCTCTTGGCTCCTGTGTTTAGAAATAAATTATCATAAGCCACCTTATTTGAAGCCAAGGTCATTGGTTCTTAGT